GCCCCCGAACCCGTGGGTCTCCCCCCGGAGATGGGGAAGTACAGGGGGAAGGAGAGAAGCAAACTTAGTTCTCTTTTCTAGAGGGCTCGCTTTTCCCGGGGTTGCGGCTCTCCCCTGCTCGGGGACGCTGATGGAGGAAGCGGCGCCATTTAGCGTTAGCCCCACGGACCGGCGCTTTTCGACCTGCGGGGCGGGAGCCGTGGCAGAGCCGCGTTAGAGCTCGCACCAAGATCTGCGGGCATGGGTGCGGCCTTGAGGGGCAGCAAGAAATGCATTTAACTGAAATACTCACCTGTGTAATTTTTCCTGACTTTTTAAGGCCTTGTATTTCTTCTTCTCTGAAAATCCCATTCTTCTGTGATGGTCTTGATGCAGAGCGAGGTTACATGTGAGGGCACAGAACGTAATTGCTGGACACTTGTATTTACAGTGGCTGTGCTGCATCTAATGTGCAGCAACCTCAGGTTTTTGAGATCTGGCCTGAGCTATACCTAGACACAGCGGCAGAAGCGCTACTGGTCCCGGGGCAGAGGGGGTGCATGTGTGTAGAGGGGTCAGAGATGCTTTTCCTTCTCCCCTTCTGAGGCTGGCTGATTTGTGTCCTGCAGGATCCCAGAGTCCTGGACAGCATGCTCCCATACCTGACGGCCTACTATGGCAACCCTCACTCCAGGACCCATGCCTACGGCTGGGAGAGCGAGGCTGCCATGGAAAAGGCGAGGCGGGTGAGTCTTCAGCTCTCTGCAGTCATAGTGGTTTTCCTGCTGGTGAGGAAATTCAGCGTCAAAAAAAAATCAAAAGCAATGATAAAATGGCTGTAGTTATTTAGTTCTCCCTGGGCTGGGTTTAGCAGCTTCCTCTTCACGTTGCTATCCTTTAGCAGATTTATCGCAAGAAAAAAAAATAGTGAAGATTATACTGAAATGGCAGAAACCAATACTTTAGGCAAAGGTGCCTCAGGATTTTGGTTTCCTGAGGTCACAAGCATGCTGCTGCAGTAACAGGCTAACTGCATATTTTATCATTCTTCTAGTCTCAGGTATAGGTCTTTGTCATTGTTTTTTGGAAGTAATGTGTACTGGGGTTTTGTCTACTTAACTTTTATGTTCTTCTATAACAGGCTAATGCTAAATACCACTGCTGCTAATGACTATGAATTCCTGATGTATTTTGTATTAATGCAGATATTTAAACGATTGTACCTGTAGCATAACTCTGTTAGATAATAGCTGTGATTCTTACAAGGCTCGAGGGGGTATTCTAGGAAACATTTTGTATGTGTTTTGCTATGGTATTCATTGTATTTTGTCTTAACAAGTCAAATTTGTATTTCTTTTTGAACAGCAAGTTGCGGATTTAGTAGGAGCTGATTCAAGGGAAATTATATTTACCAGTGGTGCAACAGAATCAAATAATATGGCAATTAAGGTAAAAGGTTTATACTGATAGTTATTTATTATGTTAAAATTATGCTCCTGAGAACTGTATGCATCTATCAACAGTTTAAAAGTTAATATGTTGGCCTAGTTAGCACATACGGCACATATATGCTCTGGGTGAACCTGCTTTAGCAGGAGGGTTGGACTAGATGATCTCCCGAGGTCCCTTCCAACCCTTGCCATTCTGTGATATTTGCATTCCTGGATTTTCTCCTTGTGGTATCCTGCTACATGCACGGAGGAAATACTGGGATGTTTTGGTGCCCAGGACGCAGTTGTGAGGACAGAGTGTACTTACATGCCCCAAATACAGTCCTTCTGCTTATGTAATTAAAATCTTTATCATGAAGTATAGTGGAGATGCTGACTACAGACTTTTTTCTAAGACTAGGTAGTGTTTTAACTGTTACTATGTGGTCGTTAAGACTTCTCATTGTATGTCACTCCATTGCAAATGTTTTTTAAAAAGTGTCTAGAACTTCTATCAGTTAACATTTTCACAGGCTCTTTGAAAAGTGAGGTGCTTTGAAAAGAGTGCTGGTGGCAATATTATAGCATGAATTACATGTCAGTACCTTTTATATTCATGACTTCAGGGCAAACAGGGAAGATCCGAATGAATTATATCTAAATAGCAATTTCTTGTTTGAGTCATTTTGTGTAAATCTTGCTTTCTTCAGTGGTCTAATGGCAAATTTCTTGTTCATGGTTTGTGCCTCACAGGGTGTTGCAAGGTTCTATAAATCCAGAAAAAAGCATATCATTACTACGCAAACAGAGCACAAGTGTGTGTTGGATTCCTGCCGTTCCTTGGAGACAGAAGGTTTTCGGGTCACCTATCTACCTGTTAAAAAAAATGGGCTCATAGATTTGAAGGTAGGTTGTTTACTGACAGAAAAAAAGTGAAAATAGAAGAGGTTTTTGCTTCACGTTGGTGCTCGAGAGGACCTTGTGTCCTCTTGATGATAAAGAAGAAAGGATGGTAAATATCACAAGGTAGAAGGAGAGTCACAGTCAAATCTCTGTCACGCTTGGAGAAGGATTTTCTGTTCTGCCTGGTGCTCTAGACTTTTTCTCAACCAAAACATCCATCTCTCATCCCACCGTTCACCTGCTGTAATTCATACCCAGGTGGGTAGAGCAGTTGCATACACTGTAGAGAGCCCAGTACGTGACTAGGATGGAGCTGGCTTTGATACAGGAGTTAGTGGTGAAATTTTACGACCTGAGCTATCAAGGCATCAGGCACAGTGATTACAATACTCTTTTCCGATTGCTGTCTGTGAACTGACCCTTCTGGGTGTACTGGCCGCGGTCCTGGGATTTAGAAGTCGTATATGCTTATTTCATCATGTGTGTCCTCTGATAGAGGACAGCAGCAGCTCTGTTTCTAGCCCCATCGCCTGACCTGGAGAGGTGTTGTGTGTATATGGCAGGGTAGAGGGATCAGGCCTGCAGGCGCAGAGTTGTTAGTCACATTCCCCGAGAACTTGGCTGGCAGACTCCTTCTTTACGTGACGCTCTCTCTTGTCTACAGTGCAGTTCCTTTATAGCCAACCTCACCTTGTCTAGATGTGGCTTAAGCTGTTTTGTGAGTGGTTAATTCATTAAAGAAAATAGTTTGGAGGAACATATGAGACATAGGAAAAGTCTGTTCTGACTTGATTTAATCACGTCAGGTGGCACGGTGCATACCAGGGTTAGGATATGCAGAAATCCAATTGATCACACTCCTCTTCCTACAGGAATGTTGTGTTGATGTGGATTAGTGCTCTCACCAGGGCTGTTTGTCAGAACCTGAGGCGTTTATTGGTAACGCGCTAGCTAGGGGCCTGCTGGTTAAGATTTGATAGCAAGTTGAAGGTGTGCACAGGAATCTTGCTTTTGCTGTTAGTCACAACTTCTGTCTGTTTGAACGTTTCACCAGGAGTTGGAGGCAGCGTTCCAGCCAGATACAAGTTTGGTTTCTGTAATGACTGTGAATAATGAAATAGGAGTAAAGCAGCCAATTCGTGACATTGGTAAGTACACCGTGGCTTCCAGAGGCCAGCTGACGTCGCTTCTGCTTCATTTTACTTAATATTTTCGTAGAGAAGTGCTACTGATGCAAAAGATTAGGTGTAGTATAGTTAAGGAATAAAGAATAATGCTATCCCAAATAAAAACTTGTTCTAAAAGGGCAATAAGGATTAAATTCAGTACTTCTACAGTGAGTATTGCAGCAATTACAGCCTCATAGTACAGATCAGCTGCAGTGTTTCTAGTTTCATTCTGAATTGTATGATGGATGAAAAAATTGCACAGAATAACTGACCAAATTGAGTTTACATACTGTAATGGTTTATTGAGCACTTGTAGTGTTTAAAAGGAGAAACGTGTAGAATTTGGGGTGGGAGGGGACAGTGAGCACCACACTTAGACACCCCTTCCCCCCTCCAGTACTGCCATATTACAGTCATGAACAGTTGGTTTCTAGGTCAAAAGGCCATTGAAGAGCCAGGTTTCTGGAACAGGAGGCAGGGAGAGGGTGAGCCAGGCTCTGAGCAGGCAGATGGAGGGGCAAGGACCTCGAAGCAGTCTGGCAAAGCAGGTGGAAGGAGAGCTGGAGAACCAGGGTCGTTGGAGCAGGCAGCGTGAGCAGGTGGCCTAGGTGTGCAGCTCCCTGGATCCCATGGTGATTCCTGGATAACGTTTCCCATGTCAGTGACAAAACACACGTGTGCACCCCGCCCTTCATGTTCAAGATGTCCTTTCATAAGATGTTTGAGTTTTTAGACAGTTTTTAGGCTTTGCCCTCTGCCCTGGAGTTTATACTGCATGGTTCTGGAGGGTATTGATTTCCCAGGCCATAGCAGGCATCTTATCCTGTGGTGCTGCTGATTTTCCTCTTGCTTAGCTGCTGCATTTTTTTTTTCTTTATTATGCTCAAAGCAGCATTTCTCCAAGGCTCTTGAGGTTATGTTTCCTCATTGACAAGTAATTGACCATCAGCGAGTTACTTATAGGCTCAAGGACTCTATTTTCCTCCTGTGCTTTTATTGGCAAAGCCATTACTGTTGTCGTGTGCTTAAATGCCTTAAATGTTCTGTAGTGTATTTTGGCTCTGGATGCAAAAACGTTGATTACAGGCTTGAGTGACTTCAGCATGCATGAGGACTAGCGACAATTCTGAAACCATTTTTGAAGCTGAGCATTGTAAAACTTGGAAAATAGAGGAAATGGCATAAAAACTACTTGGCAAATATAAAGTTGAAAGTAGGGCTGTCCTGTACTGGACTGGTGTTGAGAAGAAAAATAATCAGGAAAAAAAAAATTAACTTTGTCCAGTGTGGAGTCATCTCTGTGGGGAAGCTTGGATGTCCCGTGCAGCCATTTGTACTTAAACTTGGTAGGTGTGGGCTTGGAAACAATTTGTCTTCTTAGCAGCAGAAGACTTTTTAACTTCTCAACTGAAGAAATTCAACGTAGTTTTACCTGCTGACCTGCCTAACCTTGTGCCCCGCTGGGCATCAGCTAGAGTAGCTCCTACACAGCTTTAGATGCTTTACTGTAAAAGAAACGTGGCAGCATCCATTTCTTCCTTTGCCACCTCAGAACTGGTCCCTACTATAACCTGATGCTTTGGATTCGTTTTTGGAATTGTAACTATCAGATGAGGTAACGTGGTTTATTTTGCTTTTGTGTTTTTATTACAGGTGAGATCTGCCGCGCACATAAGGTTTTTTTCCACACAGATGCTGCACAAGCTATTGGTAAAATTCCTATGGATGTCAACGACATGAAAATTGATCTAATGAGCATCAGTGGCCATAAAATTTACGGGCCCAAAGGTAGTTACTGAAGTGCTTTTCGAGAGTTGTTGTTTCCATACCTACCTTAAGGTAACTACACAAGGTGTGAAGTCAGACCTGTCTGTCATAGTGACTGTTACTTAAACTGTAGAAAACTACTGTGAGACTGGTATTGGACTGACTTTGGAGTAGTGGTTCAGGCCCTGCTGCCAGACTTAGAGCTACGGAAATTGGATCTTCAGTGCTGATGGGTTGTGAGGTGGCTTCACCAAAAGAAGAAACAGTGTTGTATAGTGGTGGTAGCATTAGGAGGAGTGGCTTTTCCAGAGTCATCTGCTTGGTGTGAAGCAGCAGTGATGCTGAATCATTTTGAAATTAAATCACTGCGTTATAGGGCAAAGTTTAGACCCAAGTGTAACTTGCAACGAGGAGATCAAAAGGTAAATGGAAGGTTTAAATTCTTAGTGATTTTCGTTGTCTTCCACTTCCAATGGCCGAGATGGGGGAGAGAATTGGAAAAGTGAGTAAACTGGTGGGTTGAGACAAAGACAGTTTAATAAGTAAAGCGAAAGCCATACATGCAAGCAAAGCAGAACAAGGAATTCATTCCTTACTTCCCATCAGCAGGCAGGGGTTCAGCCATCTCCAGGAAAGCTCCGTCACGCATAAGGGTGACTTGGGAAGACTGCCACTCTGAACGTCCAATCCTTCCTTCTTCTTTCACCAGCATTATATACTGAACATGATGTCATATGGTCTGGAATAGCCCTTGGGCCAGTTGGGGTCAGCTCTCCTGGCTGTGGTCCCTCCCAGCTCCCTGTGCCCCTGGCAGAGCAGGGGAAGCTGAAAAGTCCTTGACTGGTATAAGCCCTGCTCAGCACCAACTGACCCATCAGTGAGTTATCAACATTCTTCTCATCCTAAATCCAAAACGCAGCACCATGCCAGCTACTAGGAAGAAAATTAAGTCTATCCCAGCTGAAACCAGGTTTGCTGCATTCTATGTACTATTCAGAAACAAAAGGCAAAATTACTATTTTTTCAATATGTTGTCTTTTTCTGCATGAGCTCGCCTGAGAGCTGAAAACATTTCTCTGGATGAGGGATAAGTTTTCAGCCAGTAACTGTGGGCAGGTTACAGACATAAATTTTTGCAACTCATTATGACCCAAAGTTGGAACCATTCTTCCTGTGGTGACAGTCACTCGTTAGGTATGCCAAGGCACATGAAGACATGGAAATCAAGTTTCTCGGTGAGACCAGAGAGTGAAGTTGGCTGGCTGTCAAAACTGGCTCATCTAATCTGTCCGTTGGAAATAGGTGCCACTGATGAGTCTCCCTAATGAGAAGAAAGGGAGAGGACTCCTGGGACTGGTGCTGGCCTGGCAATCCAGGAAAAGGAGTTCTTTTAGAGCTTTCAGTTGGAAGTTAGTAAGGGAACACCAACGAATGAAATATCTGTGTCTAAAAACTTCAGTGCAAAGGGATGAACTTTAGCTGTGCACAGGAATTGTGAGAAGTAAGGGAAGTACTGAGTCCTTAGGTGGCTGAAGCACTCTGGGAGAAACTGAGCTTCTCCCACGGCTGAAGCTCTCGGAGCCTGAATGAAGAGGAACATGAATGGTGGGAACAAACACCATTTCCTAGAACATACTGTACTTCTGTATGTGTTCACTACATTTGTCTCCAGTGAGGTGTCCAAGTATGTGTTTGCTGTGGAAATGAGGAATGTTTCCAAACCTTGGAGTCCTTTTTCATAATTTCAGAACTGTGGGTGTATGTTAAAACAGCTTTCCTTGTTTTCAAGGGGTTGGTGCTATCTATGTTCGCCGTCGACCACGCGTCAGGCTGGAAGCCCTGCAAAGTGGGGGAGGCCAGGAGAGAGGACTGCGGTCTGGGACTGTGCCCACTCCTTTAGCAGTGGGCCTGGGGGCAGCATGTGAAGTGGCACAGCAGGAGATGGAGGTATGTGGGAGATAATGTTTGTCCTGCATTCTGGAAAATAATATAACATGCTGGTTAGGTCTTAGTTTCCTTAGGTCTTTTTGTGTCCATGTGCCTGAATCAAACTTGATTCTTGTATAGTAACATTAAGTAAATGCTTTGAGATCTTCAAGAATGTTTTTGGGTTACTGGAAGTTGTTTTTCAGCTTTCTTAAGTTTCTTTTTTCTTCAAGTGGTTTGAATCATGGTTTTCTATAACAGGTTTGAAGTTGACAGTTTTAGTGAAATATGGCTTTAAGTGCTTGTGCTCACATCTCCATTCTGCATGCATGTATTGGCAGCATCTCTGAAATGGAATAAATAATGTTAAATGTATATAAGTTCAAGTTTAATGCCGCTTTGCAACTAAGAATATTTTTTTTTTTCCTAGCTTGGACAGTAAAGTTTATTTTCCTGGTCTGATGTCTAAGCCTCGGTGTGATGCTATATTAGTTTGTGGGCCCCCATGGATTCCCTAAATGTAAAAATCCTTTAATATAGTGCCAGTGGGTTGCATAAGCCAGATATCCGTACACATAGGATCAAGCTTCTCCCTGGGAGATGGGCAGAGATCCACCATGTGAGCTGGTGGGAAGCCTTGTTAGAGGCTGGAAAGCCTGCAGAGCCTGAATTCAGCACAGGCCTCAGATCTCGATTCTCTTCCTCGCCTGGCAGAGTTCTGGTGTTTCTAAACCAAGTAATATTTGAGATAGCTTATTTTCTTCTAAAGCTTTTTCAAGCATGTAAACAAACATGAATTGCATGTGTGCGTCTGGCCGTTTCAGTGCACTGGAGCTGATACCATACCTTACTGCTTTTTTAGCATGAGTGACCTCATTTTTTAGTCTAGGACAAGGCACTGCACATGGGCAGTTCTCATTGCATAGGTTATGCTTTGTAAAAGCTGAGTTCACAGTAATTTGCAAGTCCATATCTTTATGTAGTAGAGTTTGAGAGCTCCCAGGGAAATAAGGGGCACTGACCATAATAGATGTCCTTTCTTGTGTTGCAAAATGCATCATCCTATGTGTTACCTGTCTTTAAACACAAAGATCTCTATGCTTTTATGAATGCCATTTTGGCAGCTTGTGTGTATAGATCTTTCTGAACAGTTTGGAGTATTGGTAACTGGTTTGGAATGGTTTGGTAATTCTCTTCTAAAACAGTCTCTAGAGTAGGCAAAGTTTGACAGTTTCTTTTAAAGTTTTGGATGGTCTAACCGAACCCAGCCACTTCAGCCTGCTCATGGCTGGTGATACAAAGCAGTTTTAGTGAGGTCAAACTGCACACTGTTCATTACCTCGGTCTCTCTTCTGGTTTCTTTTCTAGTATGACCACAAGCGAATCTCACAACTGGCAGAACGACTGGTTACAAAAATAATGAGTGAAGTTCCTGACGTGGTTATGAATGGAGATAGAGAGCATCGCTATCCAGGTAACATTAGCAAAATCCCGAGCCCCTTAGAACCATCTAGCCCCTCCATGTTAATGACCATGACTGAACAGTGTGCTTTAGCTACGCATTGTGCAAGTACTGCTATGTGGATTTGCCCTAGGTTTCAACTGATGGAAGTTTTTTTTTCTATTTCATTTATTTGTATGTAGGATGCGTCAATTTATCTTTTGCATATGTGGAAGGGGAGAGTCTTCTGATGGCTCTGAAAGACGTGGCCCTGTCTTCAGGAAGGTAGGTGGAATGTGTGGGAAGGATAGCAGTATCTTTTGGAGAGAAGATAACATCTGCTAATGGAGGTACAAACTAAGGAGTGGTCTCTGCCCCGTATTTTCGTATTCTGTTAATGAGTCAGCCTGGCATCAATTGCATTCTCAGATGGTGTTTCTCTGAAGTGGCACATTTCAAGTGAAAGTCAAATTTACTCACCCTGAAAGCCAAAAAAACCCAAACCAAACCAAAAAAAACCCCAAAAACCAAAAAACCAAGCTCCTTCCTGCCAGCCTTACAGGCTGGTTACCTGCGATCTGAGTAGCCTTGGCTTGTAACTGCCGGTGAAACTTTCATTCTAAAGGCTACCGGCATTTGAGCAGCTTCTCTGCTTCAGCAGGGTTTCACACAAGTGGCAGATTGTAAGACTGGACAAATACCTGAATTAAATTAGCTCACAGTGCCTGTGTTTAATGCAGAAGCAGAAAGAAAATTGAATACACTTTTATGGAGCTCTGTTGACTCTACAGGAGTGACAAGTAACGTTCCTGTTACCAAGACAAATTTGATGCTTGTGATGAAGTTAACAGAGTGTAAAGATGCCCTTCTTTCCTCATCTTTGAGAACAGAGCGGTCAGCATATCTTAATGAGAAGTATGCTGGCACTATGAACAGGCAGACCAAGCCTCCACATGACTGTCTCTGAAGCCAAACACTTCTGTGATTTGAAAATCTCTTCTGAGGTGCTGCTTTGTGCATCAGAGAGCTGTAAACAGCTCTCCGGTTTGTGCTGCATGTTGCTACCTGTAAAAATTGAGTAACAACCTGTAAGCAGTTTTGCCTATTGCTTCAAGATGGAAGTTCTCTCTACTGATGACTGTAAGTAGATCATCTTGCTCTGGATTCCTCTGTGCAGTGTTTCTCATTTATTTGTTCTGCTGCCAACAGCAGCTTGTGAAGTCTTTTTTTTTTTTTTTTTTTTTTCTTTCTTTTTTAATGTTCCTGTTGGTATGTTACTTTTTATGTCTAGTTCTGTCTTGGCTCCTTTGTCTTTTTTCCATGGCCTTCACTTCAGCTACCTCTTAGTTTGCATTCCCATTGCTTCTGTTTTGGCATTGTGTTTGTTCTTACTGCGTTATCTGTGTTCTCTCTTCTTACCTCATGCTCCTCATTTATTACCCTCATTCCCCTCTAACACCCCCTTCCATTCTTTTCCTTCAGCAGCAGAAATACCACTTTTCTTACTTGTATTCACTGATGGTTTCTAAGAGGCTGGGGAAGCTGATACAGGTTGTTGTAAAGAGTCATAGTAATAATAAATGTCTGAGAGTGACCTGTTCTTTGTTGGAGGAGATTAGTGAAGTGTTACTTCTGTGTGGCATGTGCACATGAACAAAAGTTTGAAATTTGCCGGCCTTCCCTTTCCCCAGTGCTTGCACGTCAGCTTCTCTGGAGCCTTCTTACGTTTTGCGGGCAATTGGAACAGACGAAGACTTGGCTCACTCATCTATAAGGTGCGTGGAGTGGTCTTCCCTGATGCTTCCAAATATTTTTCTTTTCTGCTAAATGTAGGTGTTCCACCCCTCTATATGCATAATAGTTTTCTTTTGGTTTAGATTTGGCATTGGTCGTTTCACTACAGAGGAAGAAGTAGATTATACAGTGCAGAAGTGCATACAGCATGTTAAGAGGCTGAGGGAAATGAGGTGAGCCGTCTTGTTCTTGAATGTAAAGCCTTCTCAGGTGTGTTAATGATTTGAAGAGTTGGACTGAGTTGAAAGTAATTGCTTGCTTCAAAATCTGGTGGTGTCTCTATGTAAGCAAGCAGTGTTGCCAGAGTGGTTGTGGGCTTGATCTTAACAGTAGTGACAAAGTTTTAAGGAAAAAAAACCTGATAACAAACCTTTTCCTAGATCTTGCTTTTGTCAGGGAAAGAATATGAGTCAGGCAAGCATGTAGGGCAGTACCTAGATGTTTCTAAGCCAGAGATGTTTATGTATCAATAAGCTGTTTTATTTTGGTAAAACTGAAAGACTCCTGACTCATCTGGACAGTGTCAAATGTGAGGGCTCGGTCTCTAAGAGACATGAGTACTTTATGCCTACTAAAGTGGGAGTGGGAAATGAGGTGGAGCACCTGTCCTCTCAATTCTTGTGTTTTGGGGCTGAGGACTGATCGTCTGAAGCTCATTGACCTCCAGAAAGGGAAGATAGGTATCTCCTAATTTCTTGTGTAGTTGATCAAATTGTCTTGGTTGTTGTTGATGTTGTCCTGTGCATTTTAGATAGCCCTCATTTTTCTCCTTTCTTTACAGCCCCCTCTGGGAAATGGTGCAGGATGGAATTGACCTCAAAAGCATTAAATGGACTCAGCACTGAGAAAACGTTGCTATCCATGGATGAGATGTGGATTAAAAAATGCATTTCCTGTACATTCCTGAGCAAATTATGCAGCACTTCTGTTTTTTGACACTTGCAATTTGACTGGAAAACTACACTTTCTGATCACAAAGTGTAAGAAGCCAAAAATGAAACTAGTCTTTATCCTGGAGAAAGGCAGGATGATGTAACACTCATTGCATTTATATTGACACAGAGAAATTTATGCTAAAACATAGTTTATTTTGAAATGTATTTTCTAATAAGAAAATGTCCCTGTGTTACTCCAGGGCTAGTGGAATCCTGTCGAGAGGTTGTTGCTTCTCAATGTAAAACATCCCATGTAGCTGTTCCGTTTGCAGCACAGACTTATTGCCAGGCCTCCCATTCTTTCTGTTTGAGGTGGGCATCCTGCAACAGCAGCTGGTTTTGTACAGCTCAGATGCGTTGTACTGTGAGAAATTCTCAGATAGGAAGAAGCTTGGCATTTCTAGAGGAAAAGGATGCCTCAGTGTGGCTGTGTGCCTTCATAGTTGTACATGCAGTTAAGAACAATTTTTTTCTGAAACTGAGTATTTTTGGCTCTTTTTCCTTGGTTTTATCTTCTTTTTGTGCAATGCTTGTACAGACCAGTGTGCATTAATGCAAAACATCCTTCTGTGTTACAGAGTTTATGATACAATGATGATGCACTTTGCTGTCCCCTCCGCTGTTTTTTTCTGTGCAATTTTTTTCTAAGTAAGGAAAGAAAACTTGAATGACTGGGGGAGGGAGGTAGGCAGAATATGTCAGCTTCAGTTGCAGCACCAGTTTAGTTGGAACATGAGTGGTGGAGGTGGTGGGAAGAGCAGATGAAGTGCAATGTCTTTTTCCCCTTGTGATGAGTCCTTTTTTGTTGCTCAGAGTTTGCCTGTGGGCCCTTGGCTTCTGTCCCTTTAGGGAGTCTTGCCCGTTTGAGCCTGGGTGTTTTGTCTGGAGACAAGAGCATGCAGCTCTGGAGCTTTCTCTGCCTGGCAGACTGTACTTCTGTCTGACTAGAGGCTTACATGGGAATCCATTCCCTGCAAGTGCTGGGGGAAAGTGTCTCTCAAAAAGGGTTTCATACCTTTGTTGATCTTTCCAGTAGGAAACTTAACCCTGTATTACGAAGTGCCTTTGTTTCAGTTGCATAAGCAGACAGCTCTCAAATTAGTTTTGTTGATTGATGGATGCTGTGTTAGCTGCTGAATTTAATATACCCTGTAGACAGTATGTCTTCAGTCTTCAGTTCTGGATGGTATCTACCTCGAGGATGAACCATGTAATGTAAAAGCTGAAGCTAAGTCTCACAAGGTGGATTGTGTTACAGAAGCTTGTTCTTTCTTCTTTTTTTGTTACTAAGGACAGATTTGGTTGGTTGTTTGTAATGTAAAGCTAATCCTCAGTTGTTCTGTTTGAAATTATTAGCTTTAGCAGTGTTAATATTGTAGGGCTGGCACTTTATATTTCATCACAACATTTTTAAAACTACCATATGCATAAATAGGTTTTAGAGGTGTTGTATGTACTGTTTTATCCTTGGGCTGTACATGTTTTCTGGATTAAGCATGTGGCAACACTTCCCCAGCATGTTTTTATACTATATGTTTATGAAATTGTTCTTTGTGTTTCATGGATGATAAAAAAAATATAGGTAAGACTTACAACTAGGCTATTTCCAGTCTTTTCAGATCCACCTTTCTGGCTGAAGTATGCAGCACAATCAGTAAGTTGCTAAACTGCAGCCTTTCATTAGAGAACAGAGAAGGATACACTAAGTTTTCTGTGAACACTGTTAGCTCTTTCTTGTCATCGAGCTGATGTTTGACTTTTGATGAGTCATTCTTCTCAAATTCAGTGCCTCATCTGAGCTAATTTTTTTTAAAACTCAAATAGCTTATATTGTAATTATTTTGAGAAAAGGGAGCCCCAAATCTTGAAGATTCTGAGCACCTCTTACGTGCTAAGATTTGAAATACAAGTGCTACGTGTAAAGGTTTGAGCAACTCATTCATACTGTTAAATATTTGAAAATCTTATAGGACAAGATGAGGAAGAATTTGTACTGGAGATACTTTTCCCCATGACAGAAAGAAATAATGCCAAGGATTAATGTCTGGTTGTCGACACTGAATGCAGTTAAAGCTTTTTGTATGGGGAAGTAAATTCTTTGGGAGGAGAATATTAGAAATGGAACTGCCTGTAACTCAGAAGTGATGGAGCTGTGGGTTTTTGCAGGGGTTTTTTTTGTGATTAATTGGAGCCATCTGCAGGGCATTAAATTAATAATACAAGGTGAGGATGCCAGGAAGGTGAGGATTAAGGGTCATAAAAATTGAACCAGTGTGACAAACAGGAATAAAATAAACTTCCAGTAGTGCAAGGTGATTAGGTAGTACACAAGGGGAGCAAAAAAATTCTCTGTGAGTGTTTCTAAATGCTGATAAAGCATATCACCTAGCTACAAAAATTATTTCTTCAGGAAGGATAATACAGAGTTAGAGTTAACCTGCTGTGGACTTGAGGAGACGGAGGAAGAGGGCCAGTTAACAGATTTGTTGACAATGTTATACAGCCAGCCATAAACTTATATGGGATTTTTAAAAATGATAAATTAACATAAACATTATTGCTCCCAACAACATACCACCTCTTCTCTTCGATCTTTTATGTGCCTGATTGATTAGCTTGCTGTTCTCTTTCTCTGGTATGACTGCAGTCATGGTCCATTGTTTTCAGTCAAATTGTTTCTGCTAACAACATGTATGCCTCGTGTTTTGAAGTGGTAAGTTTCCCAAAGCTGAATCCCAAAATGTTGGCCTAAGAGATCTCTTCTCCATTAAAGGCAGTTTTGATTAAATTTCAGGATGGTGAATAAGGTCCTGCACTGGAAGAAAGCAAAATGCCAGTTTTTAAAATGGACAAGCCGAGTGCTTGGGAGAACCGAGCACTCCGACAGCTGATGTTTCTCATATCTGTCTGAAACACAGTAATAAAAAAAGGCTGGTACAAGATGCTCTTACAAGAAGCTCATACTAACGGGCAATCAAAGTGGTTCTGTGCTGAATAGGCATAGTAAAACAAACAAGGTGTTTAATTTAGTTTTAAAAAGTAACCATACAGGATCAATAAGGCACATCATCGCTGACTGACAGATTTTAAGTACAGATAGGAACGAGGAGAGTATTTCTGGGAGGCACCTGTGAGGATTATTTCTGTTGAACATTTTTCTAAATGATCTGGAAACAATTAAGACTTGTGGTTGACACATAGTAATCAGAAAGGAAAATACAAAGTAGTATGAATCATTTAGTAAACTGGGTTCAGTCATCCATGGCACATCCTTGTACAGATGAAGGAATAGGATTGGAGGCTGTGTTTACAGAAAGGTCTCTCTAGGGTGCTGGAGGAGCAAGGAGCCTAGGATTTGGGGTAATGTTTCCAGACTAACGGTGTAGCAAAAGTATAATGCAAGGAGGAGGACATTTTTATTGTTTTCCTCAAGCTTTACTTTAAAATGTCCTGTGTTATTTTTTTTTTCCCCTAGTTGCATACCTAGGCCTACTTCGGTTTTGATTTAGATGGAGGAGAAAGATAAATTAGCACGCTCTCAATAGTCCTAGTACCTAATAAAGGCAAATCCTGTTCTTCTCCAACACAATTTTTCCCTGCCTGCCTTCTACGGCATCAGGACTTACTCTCTAGTATGCTTTCATGGAGTCAGTACAGACAGAGTCTAGAGGCCTACTGAGGGTTATGTAGTTTGACCCTGTTTTTTTGCTCACCCACACAGTAAATGTCTCAAGTCTCCACCAGACTTTATTTCAGCAACAGAAAGCAATGTGGTGATTCATCACATTGCAGAAAAGCTGAAAAGTCTTAGTTTTCTTCTGACGTGGGATATTCCAGCACTGCCCTTTGCTATTCTACACCTTCTCCCTGCCGCAGGGTGGCCAGTGCAGCCCAGGAAGTGCTGCAGTGTCGCAGAGCAAGGCCCTGAGCCTCAGGTGCTCCTGCTGCCACTCGCCTACCTTGGCAAGCAGCAGGTCTGGCAAACCTGGCCGCAGATGCCTCTGGTGACTCCAGTTACCTGCTTCTCTCAGCTGTGTCAAGGGGTGCGTGCTGGTGGCTAACCCTGCCTAGTGTCACTGACACTATAAAAAGACAAATTACTGAATACTACCTACAGCAGTCAAGGAGTGATGTGTAAGCAGATGGTACACCTAGCAAGACAGAAAGGAGGTGTTAGCTTGACAGAACTGATAAATTTTCAGGGCAGCTGTTATCATAAATACCAAATAGAGTACAAAGTCTGTAAAACCAGGGGTAATAGGGAGAAGAGAAACAAGTGTGGGCTGTTCCTTGGGAGGGGATGAAGGTGGTGAAGGAGAATTTGGGAGTAAGAAGGGGGGATATACAGGGAAACAACGGGGTGGGGGGTGTCATGGCACCAAGCAGCCCCAGGCCTGGTCCTGTTGCCTCAGGACAACACAATCATCACAGATTTGGGCCCTGCTTTTTGTTAAGAGGTGAAAAACAACTAAGTTAACTGAATTCTTGAGCTCCCCAATTCACTGGAAAAGTGTTTGTGATGTGAGGCGATGATTTATTTTCATTTGTTTCTTGCAACAGACTATGCAGGGTCTTTTTCACTGAAAATGTATGCTGCTGCAGTACCCGTGTCCACTGAAGCACTGTGACAGTGCCTGCCAAGAGGCGTCTACAGCTGCTCTTCGGCTCAGGACGCTCTCTAGTTATTTGTATTGCACACTTAGTCAAGCAAAGGACAGGAATAACACCGGGCAGTTACACTCAAACGGGCAGTGATCCAGGATGATCTGACTTTCATTTTCATTCTGCAACACGGTCCTAAGTGAAGTCAGAAACAGCCACTTTCCTCAGGGTTCTTCTGTTCGCTGGAAGCCTGATGCTTCCTTTCGAGTCACCGTTTCCTCAGTAAATAATCCTCAGTTACACCATCGTTAATTGCCAGAAAATGTGTGTGTCACACTATCACAATATCGCTATTGTACCAGAGGCAACCGTACGAATCTTACACCGTGAGTCCCACGTTGCTCTTTCCGGCCTTCTAGCTGTGGTGTTGCCTTCAGAATGGAGCGCGGACACGGGAAGCACCGGACTCTTTTTCACGACAACACCCGGCGACCCCACCGCCCTGAGGTGAGCCGCGACCCGCTGGAAGGCACATGCGCGTCTTCTCTGCGCGCACCGGAAGGCCCCGCCCTCCTC